TTTATTACTTATAAAAATAGATTGCAAATATTCTATTTATTATTAGGTTTTACGTATAGAATATTATGTATTTCTACAGGAAAATTGCTACTATATTGTCTCATTACAGTTCTTGATATGAACTTAATGTTTTGTGATCTGGTTAGCAGGGTGGCTACAGGTGACTAAAATGCAACTATTTTTGGCCTGAAAATGCTTATAAAAAAGGCAACTATTTTCAGGAAAGGGAGGACTTTTCTGTACTCCTAGTGATGTTTCTTTTAGCGTAAATTGGGTTGACAACTTGCAGCCCGTAAGAGATTCTAATCACAAGTACATAAATAAAAGAAGCATTGTCATGTTATGAGTAGAATGCAAGCAAAGTAGCACTATTTCGAACAAGCTAACATGGAAGGGGGAAGTTAGCAAATTTTTTTGGGGGGGATGAATGCACCCAAGAGCTTGGGGGGGCACTGTCTAAATCAAACTATTCAATTCAATTTTTAAAAAAATATTTAAACAGTTTTAAGTTATATTTCAGATGATTACAGGCGCAAATATCTATGATAAGATTGAAACTTAACAACCACAGTCTAATTCGAAAAATCACACTTAAAAATTCTCCCTCTACCTTTAACTGAGTAAACAAGCCTGAATTTTTTCATTTTCATTGGGGGGGGATTTACTATACAGCATCGTAAGATTTAAAAAAAAAATAATAATAATAATAATTAAGTATCTGCACACACAATCCAAAAGTATCTACAGGCTCATTATATTTTTTGAGTTCTGAATAAATGACAAAAAACACCTAACTATTTAACATATTTATTTATTCCTGACTGAAAAAAAAAACAATATATGCATGCACATTAACATAAAAAACATTGAAGGAAAATTAATATAAATAGTTATAAGCAAAATAAAAATTAGAAGTACTGCATTGATATTAACACGCCACAACTGGTCAAAAGACCGGTTATTATATGTTGTATTGTATTGTAAAGTGTTGGCACGTTTAGTGTTAAGTAATTATATTAAATAATATTAATATGATAGTTAACTAATTTTGCTCCCGTAATTCTTCACAGCGAAGTCCATTTTTAACTATGTTTCAATTTTTATTAATAAACGGAATTACTCAAAAAGGATTTCCTACTGCCACCGTAATTGTTTATTTTCGTTGTGAAGTGATAGTCATGTCCAGTTATTTGCTCATCCGCTAATCATGGAATCACTTTGGGGCTAAATTAACAGTTTTATCTTCTCAGTAGCAGCACGCACACAGCTAAACAACCTATTATTGTATATTGTTTATAGGGTGACCTGGGGTAATTCCTGATCAAAAAACGCAAACATCTATTTTGCGAAAAAAACTATTCAAAATAGAATTTTAATATTTACTGGAAGTTTGAGGCTATATGAGATGAGTCCAATGCCACCTTCTTTTGTTTGAAAATCTAATTAGAATTTAAAAGATTTTAAATTTTTAGGGATCAGGAATTACCCCTGGTCTTGATCATTTCTGGGGTAATTACTGATCACCAGTTTTTATTGTAAAGGGGCTGTTTAAAAATAATTATATAATGGTAATTAACAAATAAGACATCAAGATCAAACAAATAAACCAAAAAGATATGTTTAAGCAGCTAATAAAATGATTTATTTAAAAGCAAGAAGAAGGATTAACACTTTAAATTTTCAAAAATCTTTGCATCGTGCCATACATTTCAGGCAATCAGCCAACTCATTCTCAAGTTCTTCTGAAATATAAGAGTTCCCACATGGGTTACTTTTGCTGCATTTTTTATCTTCATTAAGGGAAAGTGTAAAGTTAAGTAAGCCATGTCAACAGCTCTGGCAGCAGCTTTTACACTGAAATTTTCATTTTCAATCATTAAAAGAAATTCACTAATTTTGTTTTCTAGAAGCTTAGTATCCTTTTTAGGCTTATAATTTCTCACCATATTTATACTAGGCTAATTTATAGACTTAAAAATTATTCTAACAATTATACTAGGCTAATTTATAAACTTAAAAATTATTCTAACGATGTACACACATAAAATTAAGATAGAAGCAAGGTAAGACAAACCAGAAATGGTGCAAATCAGAATACAGTCTTGTATACAGTTTAAAACAAATTTTGTGATGACAGTTAAAATATATTTTATAGTTGTTCCACTTAATAAATATGAACTGATATTTAAGAAAAGACAATTAGGTATTTATAAGCTATTTTATATACTGTTTATAAGAAATGACAATGATCAGGAATCACCCCAGTGATCAATAATTACCCCATCTGTAGGGGGAAACATTTGATATAGTTTCCCATAATCAATAACAATGTTTACAGTAGATGTGAAACAATTAAACAAGAGCTTACACTATTTTCATATCAAAGAAAAAGAAAGTGACTCAAAATATTTATTATTAAGAGAAGGAGGGGGATCTTTGCAGAAATGTGCACATTTTGAAACTCATCTTTGAAATGGAAAATACAGAAAGCAGTTTAAAAGATACTTATTTTGTTAGATTAAACAAAAAATTATTATTAAGTAAATGTAGTTATACTTCAGTAAAGTGTACAAGCATTTTTGTCCATTTCTTAAATTTAAAAAAAAAAAAAAAAATTTAATAAAACTTAGGTGATCATTATTCACCCCAGAAACAGAGTGATCGTGAATTACCCCGGGTCACCCTACCTTGCAGAAGTATCTGCACCCAATGTGCGTGTATGTACCTATATTATCTAACTGTACCTGCCCAAAGAAGTCTTCGCCAGACAATCTTTTTACTTTGGTAGTGCCCTGATGTTACAGTTGAGTTAGTTGTCCTCGAAATTGTAACGTTTTCCGTTTAAACTTCGTCTTCACTTTTGTGTATGCACCATATAATATGCATAAATTTTTATCGTTGCTTACGGCAATTAGGACAATTAATCTCAGAATTTATTTAATGCTGATTATTTTTATATTAAGACCATGCATTTAAGTATGCAAATCAACGTTCAACAATGAAAAAACTTTTTTAAAAAAAAATTTAGTGTCAGTTTTAATTTGTAATTTCAGGAGAAAAAGCGAATACAATAATTTAAAACCAAAATTTTTGTTTTAAAATGTGTTGTTGACATGCACAATAATTACAAAACAAATGTTGTTTGTTTTACATTTTAAAATATAATATGTTTGCTTCATCTATTATATTGTTTATTCTGTATCTATTATATTGTTAGAAATTGGCTTACATAAAAACTTAATAAAATCAAAATTATAATATTCAGGTATTAATCTTGTTAAAATTTAAAACAGATGAGTTTTCACTCGCTCGTGTTTTTCATGAACATCAATTTCGTGTGAGCGTCATGTAATTTGGGAACTGCATATGAGTATGAGTCTAAAATCTTTGTTCCATTATGTACTGGCGAAAACCAAAATACTACTGAGTTCAAAGTAGCTCGTTGAGTATGGAAGCATTTTATACTGCTGAGAAATGAAGGCCTTGCATTCAAAAAAATGCAACAATTGGTTAAATAATTCCAACAAGTGTGAGAAAATAGAAATAATCATTTCCAAAAGACATACAAAAACAGATATCAAAAGAAGAATTCTACCACAGCCAGCCAAATCCATTTCCCAAACCTGTTAAAAACTATTAAAATTATAATATATTAAATGTGTTTAGTATCTATCACTTTCTAAAATATCATTCCTATTTGTATCATTCCTCACTTTTTAAAGTGTGGAATTAATTAATTTGTTTTTTAAGTATTAAATATAATTTGAAGGATATGTATCTTTCTTACAATGCCATTGCATACATCTATCAATGTAAAAAGTTTCAAAGCTTTTCATACACTTTTTGGGATTTTAAGAACTGAAAATGACAGTTTTCATGAGGATGACCCAGATATGCAATAACATAACCAGATGAATCGGGCACGTTAAAAGTTTTTACAAAACAAGTTTTTTTCCAAGTAGATGAAAAACTAATTAATTTCTTTAATTAAACTATCCATATTTTATAAAAGTAAGTTGTTACATTTTGTACAAATCAATTTTTTTTTTTTTTTTACTTGCGTGCAATTTCCTAGATGAAAATTAGGGGGGCAGTAATAACATTCAATAAAGTCATCCATGGATATTTTACAGTAAAATTAAGCTTATTGACCCTAAAATAAATTCTATAGCAATTAAACTTTAATTTTCTGTAGAGAAGATTGTTCTTTTATAGCCTGGAAGTTATGTTTTATTCAACTAGTGCCATCTACGGTATTTTATTGGCACTTTTCATACATGGGACAGTAGTTGCACAAAAGTTGGTCACACAAAATAATGTTGAATAAAAGATACCAATTACTCTATTATAAGAATATTGATTACACACATTCCAGTAGACAGTCATGCTATATCAGAATCTGTCTGCATTATCTCTGTAGCACTTTCACAATATAATAAATTACTTAAGAAATTTCAAGAATGTTGTTAGGATCACAGGACAATAATGACATTTTTACCTATGTGTATATANTATATATATATATATTTAAAATGTAATTAAGGTACAAAATATGTCTGGTACATATTTTTTCTATTCATTGTGAGTATTTTAGGCACACACAAAAAAAATACCATTAAATGACAAAATTAAACGTTTTAATGAAAAATTTTGCTTCAGCACATAAAATTTATTGAATTGAGAAAATAACCCATTTCTTAGAGCCAAACATTTGGGTAAACTTCTTATAATTTCTTTTGGGGCTTGCAGCAAAAAGCATAGTGTATCAAACATTGTTATAAAATAATAAATTTAGCTAAAAATTTTACTTTTGATGTACTGAAAGAGTGAGTGATTCATTAATATTTATTAATTTCTGAGTTTTGTGTTTTGTCTGAACTCTTTTTCTCTCCTGATAAAACCTGATGTATTAAATTTTTTGCCATGTTATATTTGTAAGATAGTACAATATTATGTTGTGTCAGTTCAACTTTTAAAATATTAATTTTTTCTCATTTTAGTATGAATTGCTGTTTTGTATTGAAGATGAAAGTGATCCTTCCATAATGCTTGTTAATAGTTTAATTGAAAAACACCCTGAAATAGATGCCAGTATATTCATTGGTAAGTGTAAGTGACATTTAAATTTACAAATCTTGAATTGAAAATATTTTTCTGATTATTGTTGTTTCTTATATTATGTACACTAATAAACGTAATTATTGAATTAGAAGTCTTTTTTTTTTCTAAGTTGCTAGCATGTTGAAAAAGGTCTTAATATTTTTACTTAAAGTAAAAAAAGCACAATTTATTGGACAATGTACTTTAGTTTAACAACTAAATGATTTAGTGAAACTTAAAAATATGTGTAAAAGCAATTTCTAATCAAGTTTGATAAAAAAGAAAATTTTAGATTATTCCTTATTAAATCTATTCAAATTTCCACTTAAAAAAACAGTCGAAACCACCTAAAAAAAACTGTCGAACTTTGTACAGGTTTACGACTACTAAAGTGGACTCCGAGGGATGAGATTTTTCCGACTTTTTTGCTTTTGTCTCTTGAATTTCAGCCTTTTTATCAAAAACTCTGATTCTCTAAAAAAAAATTTCTTTTCTTTTTTTTAAATAAATATTCTGCTTTTTCTGAAAATTCAGCCATTGAAAAAAAATAATTATAATTATTTCCGATTTGATATATAGATATAATATATCGAAAGACATATAGAAAATTCAAACTACGTATCTTCTAACCCTTCGGCATATCTTCTTATTTTAGCTATTAGCTTTTACGAGCAGAAAATAAAAATTTTCTCATTTTTACTCGTCCACTAGATGGCTCGTATTTTCGTATTTACCTGATTTAAAAGTTGTGTATTGCGATCCTTATCCGCACGATTTCAATATCGTTCATTGTAATTCTTATTTACGAGATTTAAAAATTCGATGTCGCGATTTGTATTGAGGCGTTTTTAAAATTCTGTGTAACAATTCGTGTTCACGCGAGTTTATCCAATGTCATGATTCGTTTTTGCGGTTGTAATAACCCACATTTATTTTCGTATTCACGCCATCTGAAGATTACGCATCATGATTTGTATTTTCAAATTTTCGAAATCCAATATCGAGTTTCATTCCCGCGATTTCAATATCATGATTTATATTCACACGATTTTAAAATCCTTTATCGCGATTCTTGTAAAAAGTATATTTTTTTCCTTGTATTAGTTACTATAAATGTGCCCGTTTTTCTATCTACGATTATTGCTATATATAGGCATTACAACATCAGCGAAACTGGATGAAAATATGTTACTGATATTTTCGCTACAAATCATGTAAGATTTACTCACATGAAAATTCAGCTATTTTGCTTTTTGGCCAATCTCATCCCTGAACTCTGTAGCCTTGTAATTTTGAACCCAATCCAGAAGACAAGGGAACTCCTGGATCGAATATTGGGAGAAATTTGCCTTCGTGGAGGACTTTTTTTGATGGAGCTAACCAGCATTTGCGTTACATGGTGAGGAAGACCACGAGAACCTCCCACGATTAGCCCGGCGGCGAGGGGGCTCTAACCCATGATCCGTCTACCACTAGGTTATTTTACGTCAGTGCAAGCCGGATTCGTATCGATCAGCCATCACTGGGATTCGAACCCAGTTCACCTCATTGAATGGCAAAGCGCTCTATACCCTGAGCCATCGCGGCTGCCAATTTTATTGATAATTTTAATTATATTTGTTTCAATGTAATGTTAAATGTTGTTTTCCTGACCTGAATTGAATCTTTATTATTTTCTGTAGGCGCTCCAAAAGTAGGTGTCAATCCAAAGATTAATAATATGAATCCTGGTTATGAAGCAGCCAAGTATGATCTTATTCTAGTCTCTGATAGTGGAATTAAAAGTGAGTTCTTTTTTTGTTGTTGTTGTTGCTTAAATGTAATTTTATTTTCATGAAAGTCATGTTGTTATGTCATCAGTATGTTATCTTGCGTTGGTATAAACATGCATAGCTGTTCACTCTTCTGTATATATCATCTATTTTCTGTCTTTTTGCTTTGTATGTACTGGGATGAAAAATATGTCAGTGCACGAATGAGGTTTAGAGGGAATTCAGGCTAACCTGGCAGAAATTTTTGTCTGATTGAAAATGATGAAAAGTGTTTCTACATAAAGTGTTGACAGTACAATTGATTTGTTGAATAAAGAATAAAATTTAAAAATACAGATTTGTAGTTATGCATATGTTTTGCCCAGAGTTGGCAGGTCTGTTTTGTTGAAACTTAAATTGAAAGAAAATGCAATACATGTATAATATACAGTGTATAATACACTACAAGTTTAATAATGTGGGATGGGATGAAACGCTTTTTCAAGCTTATGCGTAAAAAATCAGTCAGAAGAAGTGACCCAGGATTCTTGCAGCGCATTTTAACCCACAGCACAATCTGTGCTTGGCTTTACAAGCTCAACTGTTCATAAAGGAAGGAGTTTAGGTAAATAGGACTACTATAATATTGTACTTATGTACATTTAAATTCGTGGAGACTCCTTTCATTGTTTGTTTTTTTAAATTGAAAACCGACTGGACTGGTTTTCATTGGCACATTCGTTTTCATTAGTGCCAATCGCATTTGATAAATTAATCTTTAAAAAAAAAATTTATTTCATACCAACTGCAGCAACTAACTGGCTAGAAATTTTTGTCAGATAATATATTAGATACAGTGTATCGTTGATTTATTCTTTATCTTAGTAAACTAAACCTTATTTTAAATACATTTCTTAGATGAAATCTGAATGCAAAGAAATCTTGATTCAAACACCTTTACCCATTTTACTTGATTTAAGAACGCAAGCTAAAGGAAGCGACATCATTTCAAGAGTTGATATATGTTTGATCTGGGCATCCATTTTGCGTGATGCTCTCTCTATAGGGATTCTTAACTTGCAACAGAGTATAGTATTAAAATATTAAAAGACATTATTTTTGTTGATAGTGAAAGAAGATACTTTGCTTGAAATGGTTTGTTTGATGACTGAGAATGTAGCTCTCGTTCACCAGATGCCATTCACTTGTGATCGAAATAATTTTCCTGCTGTCATGGAAAAGGTATGTCTTACTAATTATACATCTTAAAAGTGATTTATAATCACAATCTTTATTTTTTTTTCCTACCTTTCCATTATTATATTTTTTAGGATATTATAAAAAGGCCTTTCTGGTGAAAGTTCTGTGTGGTGCACTTGCTTAAATGTATAAAAACTAATCGCAGAGTTTGTATGCGTCGGAAATATCAGAAAAATTAGTCATTGTCAGTGGAAAATGTAATTTTACCCGAAACTGGAAATTGTTAGGGATCTTAAAAATATGTTGTTTTTCTATTTAAATAAATATTGCTCAATTAAGTTTTGCAATCTTATTGGTGCTTACTGTTTCGTGATTATTATTTATTTTTTTGATCCATGCGTATAATGGGTTTTAATTTTTTATTGCATTCTCGTTTATACGAAATGCTCTTATATTGATTAAGTGCAATTTTACCTCAATTACACAATTATTTATTATTATTTTATGCACAACTTTAGACTTGCGCTTTTATTTCTAGTTAATAATTGAATCCTGAATAGTTTTAAATTTTGTTGAATTTTTAAACAAGGGAACGTTACTTTTAAAAGGTAACTGGTAAAGGTACAAGTGTTTTAAGCAAAATTAACATGTTAAAAGTTTTGAAATGAAAAAGTAATGAGTCAAGTTCAAAAAGAAAAATATAATGATTTTAAAGTATCTTTCGTGGAAATTTAAAATTCAAAGTAACCTCAAATTTCATTTTTAAAAAAAATGTAAGAAAGTTTTATTTATTATTTTTTTAAAATTTAAATGCATGAAATTGTTACTAAATTCATTGAAGTAGTGAACGTTGAAAATATCCTGAAACCAAAAAAGATATCAAAATTCAATGTTTGCTTATAAAAAGGAATTTTAAGTAATGTTAATTTTGAAATTACCAAACCTTTAGAAATTTTGTTTTTTGCTTATGGAATTTGTAGCAACAAATTAATTTGTTAAATTAATTCAATAGCATAATTTTTTTAATTTTGAATTATGAATATATAATATCAAGAAGTTTTAACTATTGAGAAGATCTATTGATGTGCCTAGCTTAAATGATTTTTATTTTGTGTGTCATTTGCAAAGGGAAAAAAAATTCATTAGAAAAATCTTTATCATTGGAAAATAAATTTAAAATAATGGTTAACTATTTGTGAATCGTTTGTGTATATCTTAATATCAAGCTTTTGTCTATAAAAATTTCAGGGCATTATGTTGTAATAAAGTAGCATAACTAAAGTGTTTGATTTATTGTAGGTATATTTTGGAACATCCCATGCTAGAATATATCTTGCAGCCGATATGTTTCATATAAATTGCCCAACTGGCATGTCAGCCTTAATGAGGAAAAAACTTCTTGATGAAGTGGGAGGTATGAAAGCATTTGGCCAGTATTTAGCTGAAGACTTCTTTTTTGCCAAATCCTTCACAGATAGGTACTCTCTCTTTTCTGTTGATCTGATTTAATATTTATCTATCAAGTCTGTTTCTTGTTTAATTCTGGTCATTGTTAAATTTTTCATTGACTCTTAATTAGCGTACATTAATTGCCTAGTTTATGTGGTAATTATATTTTCTCATCTTGTCAAGAAGTTGATGGTTTGTATTTATTTGTATTGTCATATGTCACTTAAGGAAGGTGGTTGTGTTTGGTTTGTGAATTGATGTTTAGCATAAGCCGGCTATATATGAGATTTACAGTGAAACCCCGATTTTACGTTTTCTGTCGGACTAGCGATAAAAAACGCTCGAAGCGGAATAACGTAAAATCGGGGTAAAGAAAAATCTACGCATATTTTTAAAAATTGACACCTACCAGTTAAATTAATGAAAAAAATGAGTAATCTTTACTTGCTTTTCGCTTTTAGCTACAATTTCGTGTGCAGCTCGTTCAATACTAACAATTTTTTGCAAATTTGCTTCTTGATTTACATTTGCAAGTAAAAATTGTTTTAGAGTTTTTATGCTTTGTATTGCTTGATCAGCTGTTGGCACGTCTTCTGTTATTTCAACTTCATCGTCATCAGCTCTATCGTCAGAATCAGGTATTAAATCACTTATGGAAGGGATTTCTGAAGTAATGATGTCTGTGTCACAGTCGATGTATGCATCATCGACTTCCAGAAGATCCTCAACTTCAGACACGGAACTTTCTTCTTCTTCCAAAACAACAGCGCTCTCCTCCTCCGATATTGAAAATCCTGCTTTATTGAATCCATTGATGATGCACTTTCGGTCGACACTGTCCCAAGTTGAAGATATCAAATAAAGAGCCTCAAGAACCTAAGTTTTTGCCTTAGAAGCATCCTGAAAGTCACCAGAATCTAGAAACATTAAGAGATTTCCTAACCAGTTGCTTCCGGTAACTCTCTTTAAATGATCGTATAGTTCCTAAATCCAGTGGTTGAAGTTTGCTCGTACAGTTAGCTGAAAAAAACTCTATTTGCAAGTTTTTCAATTTAAGGTTTAAATGAGCAGTGCATTGGTCTAGGAATAAAATTATGCTGCCCTTTTGAAAACTCATTTTCTTATCCAGTTTTTGAAGAAAATTTTTAAATAATGTCATCCATGCTTTTTTGTTTGAATTGGTAGGAAAACTTTTGATGTTTTTGAAACACCATGGTTTGTCTGCTCTACCGAACAAAAGAGACATTAACTTTTGGCTTCCATCGGCATTTGCACAGAGCAAAACAGTTAAGCGCATTTTTGAAAGCGTTATTCCATGGCAATTTGCACATTTAATTGTCAATGTCTTCTTTGGCAATAGGTTGAAAAACAATCCCGTTTCGTCATTAAATATGTCACTTGGATTATAGCCCTTTAATAAATTTGGCAGAGTTTCTTCTTTCCACTGTTGCACAATTGTCATATCCACACTATCGGATTCGCAACCGATAGATTTGAAGCATAAATTGTTCCTTTTTTTTTTTTAATCGATCGATCCAGCCATTTGATGCACTGAAGCCTTGGAGTTTAAGCCTTTCAACAATTTCAAGCCCCTTTTCTCTCAGGATGGATCCATTTATAGGAATCTTTGCTGCTCTGTCTTCCTTGAACCAGTTCATTAAAAAAATTTCTAACTCATCATATGGAGATGTTTTTAAGGTTTTTCTCTTCTTGGCAATTTTCCGAGTTTTTCAGCGTTTAGTTCTACTGAAGCTACTTGCTTTAAAATCATTTGCAAAGTTGAATAAGGAATACCCAAAGATTTAGCAAGATCAACTTTAGTGCCATGAAATTCTTTAGCTTTTTCAACGATTTCAGTCTTTTCGACCAGAGAAAAGCATTTTCGTTTCGACATCTTGTTTCGAGAAAAGAACACGATGACTGGGGTTTCGAAAATGAGAAAAAATGCTATAGCTCAAACTCAAACAAAACCGACTGAAAATCTCATTTGGTATGCTAGCACGGAAAAATTAGTAAAACCATTTTGAATCGAATAAAAATATTTTTTTGATCTGTTTGTAGAAAAACGCATCAAGCGGGATTTTCATAAAAGGTGTAACGCAAAATCCGTGGCTTTTTAACATTATCGGTATAGGCAATTTTCACGGATCAGCAGAAAATGACGTAAGAAGCGGGATAACGTACGAAACGGACAACGTAAAATCGGGGTTCCACTGTATATGATACTTGAAAGATTCCAAATTTCCTAATAGTAGCTTATAATTTAACTTACAAATGTTCATGTAAAACAAAGCAATTCATTATAATTTTATGGAAATTTGTCATGATGGTTGTTATTTTCCTTGATAGTTACAGCATTTTTTGAAAAATATGTTTTAAGTAGGCTATAACATTTCCTATTAGAAATATTTTAAAATTTTCATATTAAATTTTGAATAATGTGTAACTGTGCCAGGGTTTTCACAGTGGTAGCAGTTTTTGAAATCTGCTTAAAAAAAACTCATCACAATTGCTGAAATAAAATAACAAGTTTTCTCTTTTTTGTTAAAACATCTTAAAGTTTTTTTCTTAAGAAAAAAAAAACAGTGAGGTGCTTCATTCACAAAAAAAAATAATAATTATCTTGAATTAAGATGCAATTAACAAAGATAGTCATAATATCAGATATCAGTCCGTTATAAAGAAATGAGAAAAAGTGAAAATGAAGGGAAAAGCAATTTTTTTCCCCTCCCTATTTTATGAAGAACAGAAAAAGCTGCCAAAAAAAAAAAAAAAAAAAAAAAAAAAAAAAAAGTTGAGATAGAAATAAATAATTTAGATTTTTTTATTGGGATTATGAACTTTACAGCTCTCAAACAATATTTTATCAAAATTTCACGAAAGTGTGAAGTCATTCCTATTGTATTGAAAAACCAACATATATGTGTGTGTGAAAGTTTACTTACCATATATTTATTACTTTATTTTGCTTACCATATATTTATTACTTTATTTTGTAAAACAGCATTATCAATGGATTTATTGTCCTGATTCTGAAGAAATATGTGTATATATTTTCAGGGGTTGGTCTTTAAGAATTAGTTCTCAACCAGCGTGGCAAAACTCTGGTATCTGTGAAGTAGCTAATTTCAATAGTCGTGTTTCTAGGTAATTATTTTTTTCCTATGCATAAAATTACAATACTACAAAGTATGCTTAAATTTGTTATTTAGATTATAGAAGGGTTCCCATTGATGCAATTAGCATAGTGATCAGTTGCTAATTGTTTTCTTTTTTTTCAGGTGGGCAAAGCTAAGATTTGCAATGGTTCCCTATACAATAGTACTAGAACCTCTGTCTGAATGCATGGTTCTTGGAGCTTGTGCAGCTTTCTCTGTCAATGTTCTATTTGGCTGGGACCCATTTGTTGTATATTTAGTCCATATCTTGGCATGGTTAATTTTAGATTGGATTCTTTTAAATGTCATACAGGTAATGCACATAACGCTGTTGCTTAATTTTTTAAAATATATAGATTTGCATACTTTTATACAAGGTTTTCTCTTTAATGATTTATGTGTTATTTATTTATCAGTGTTCATTTTATTCTTATGTCTTTTTTATCACTTATTAAAATAAAGTGAATGAAATGTGTCCTATTTCAATGACTGAAAGTTCTTAGTTGAAATTGTTGTGTGTAATGACGTATAATTATATAATAAGCTATATTATGTGAGATCGCCATCTGTGTGTGTAAATTCCTGGTTGTCCCAAATATGCATAATCGTGCTCATAGTCATGAGTCTAACTGCGCTTCCAAATCAGAAGGTGGGAAATATTGGTTCCAGAGTTTAACAGGAGTATGGCCTCTATTTATTGCTATGCTGGTCTTACATCATAAATTCTTTTTGGACTTCCTGTAAAACGGTTAACAAAGAGGGCTCTATGTTGTCATTCAGTAAAATAATATTGGGGTCGACTACAATCCTGAAAAGTTGAGCTTTAAATCTCACATCAGTGAACGTACCTCTTTCAAAAAAATGTAGGGTCTACAGTAGGGATGTAACGAATATTCGGCCCTTTTGCCGAATATTTGGCCTAGCCGAATACTGAAGTTATTCGGCCGAATAATGAATATTTATATTTTAATGTAAATAACTTAACATCCTGAATTAAAGAAAATTAATCTGTTAAATGATTTTAAAAAATTGACATATAAGTTTTTAGTTTTCTGGGTTTTAATAATTTTTCGTGCAAAAAAAAAAAAATACATTTAACAGCAGTAATGAGTTCTTATTTTAAATAAAATATATAAATTGCAAGTATAATTAGTTAAAATATGCTATTATTAATTATTTAGATTTGTAAAAGCCTTATGGTTGGCATCAAGATATTTAAAATATAACAAAAAATACATCAAGTTGTTAATTTTTTTTTAAAATATAGAAAGTTTAAAAAAGCAAATTTGTTAATATTTATTTCATTTTTAATTTAAAATTTGAAAATTATTTAATTACAAAATTAAAATTTCAAAAGTGAAACTTTTTAAAAAGTTCTTAATTTTCTGAGTTTTAATAATTTTTCTGACAAAAAAGAAAGTTAAGAATACATTTAACAGTAGTAATGAGTTCTTATTTTAAATAAAATAGCATATAAATTACAAGTATAACTATAACTAAAATATGCTATTATTAATTATTTAGATTTATGAAAGCCATATTGCCTTGTTATTGGCATCAAGAAATCTAAATTATTACAAAAAATAAATCAGGTTGTTAAAAATTTTTTTAAATATACAAAGATTAAAAAAGCAATTTTGTTAATATTTATTTCATTTTTAATTTAAAATTTGAAAATTACTTTAATTACAATTAAAAGAGAAATTTTTAAAAAGTAAGTATTCGGCCACCGAATATTCGGTATTCGGCCCCATCACTATTCGTTACATCACTAGTCTACAGTCATTCAACATAATGCCTGCATACACCATCAAATGTCTGCTGTCGTGTTTGTAGATGTAGCAGGTGATGTGCTTCTAGTTTAGAATGAGCAATACCTTTTGGGCAACCATCCGCTGTTTCGACCAACTTCCACAATCTTTTACCTTGTCATCAGTAAAAGCCTGACTGATATAATGCTAATTGAACAGTCACTACGGATCTCAGGATGACTACATATAAAAAATGATTTTAAGAAAAAAGTTCTTTGTTAATAAATTTTTTTCTCCCAAAAATGCACTTTTTATTTCTCATATCTTTTATTACCCAGAAAACTAATCATCCTAAGATCATTCCATGTTATTGTATGCTATCTATTCTAAAATATTAGGAGGGTTGAATTTGGTTATCAAATTTTTCATTCAAGTTAATTTCATTACTTTATTTATTTATTATTATTTTTTTAATTTATGGTTGATAATATTTAAAAGTCATCTAATAATTTTATGTTTCAGCGTTATTTGGTACAAGAACTCAAACCCTGGGTTTTATAAATTTGAAACTTTAAATTCAGTATTTAAATTTCACATTAACCAAAGTGGCACACTATTAAATATGTTACTACTGCCGCTAGCCTGTTTTATCATTTCCTTATTTAGCCTTATACTGAATACTGTAAGAATGGACACCACTGTTAAACCTTTTTATTCTTTTGTCCCTATAACCACAGCTGTATGCTTTCTAACTCTAATGAGATACCATTTAGAATATTTATTTATTTTATATTGTATCAACCTATATTTAGATCAGATTTAAGTAATATTTGTCTAATAGTTCTTGAGGTAATATATATCAATTCTATGTTTTCTTTTAATTTTTAACACCAGTGTAATTATATTTCATTGATGTCGTTGTTATTTGTGAGCATCTCTCAATACGTGAATGCAGGACTCTGTTTTCATGTCGCAATGGTGCAAAAGAAATACCTCAAGCAATAATTTAAACCATAACCTTGAGTTGGGTTTTCAACATTGCTTGGTACATTTGTAGTTTTTTTTTTTTTTTTTTTNTTTTTTTTTTTTTTTTTTTTCGTGCTAGCTTGTATATGTTGTGATATATTCAAAGGTACCACTCTTCAGTCCTGGGGACTGAAATCAGTCTTAAAAAAAATAAGTAAACTGAATTTCATAAAATTGAGATCTCTTTTTCCTTTGTTTTATAAATTAAAGTGTCCGCTGTTCCTTAAAAATTTAGTTTAACTGAAAAAGGGTATCTTCCACTTACGTTGTAAAAAACTAGGTATCCCTGATATTAATACATTTGTATCAAGAGTGATATTAATTGAACATTTTTAATTGTATGTAGGGATGAGATTCATTTTCCTGTACTGAATATAACTTAAGATTAATATGAATATAACTTAAGATTATGTTTTTTTTTTTCTGTCCAATTTTTAGAATTAGCTTGGCCTTAGCCTCAAGTGCAAGATACTTAAAGTGAAAATTTTTGTTTCCCTAGAAGAAATTAAACTGAATTTAAAGAGAAAATGTGTATTCATAACAGAAGGGGAAGAAATAGAAATAATTTAAAGCCAAATTGATGTAAAAATTTTGGTTATAATTCTTTTGGGGTTATTATTGCTAAATCAATTACTAATTGCAATTTTCATAAGTATTTATTTAAAAAGACCTCGAAATTCTGAAATCTAGATCTTTAGAACCCTTCATTTCAAGAGTGCAGTGATTACTGCATGTATACTTAAGATGTCTATTTAATTTTTATTTATTTTTTGGTTTTCTTCACAGAATAACACTTTGCCATTCACGAAGATGGATTTTGTAATAGCCTGGTCATTCAGGGAGATTGGTGCTTTTTTCCATTTCATGCATGCGCTTTTCAATCCAAAAATACAATGGAGGACTCGTACATTTTACCTGAAATGGGGAGGCCTTGCTGAAGAAGTTTCTAACCCAAAAGTCTAAATAATATCTCATAACTCTTTTCGTGATATTCAAAATACAAAGCGCCTGCATGTACTGCCACGAGTGGGGCCACTCACTCATTGGTTATGCTGGTCAAGCTGTATTAAAATAAATGACTTTTTCCCCCGACTGCTGGTCAGTGAAAATAAAAAAAAAAAGAAATTGTGGCTTGTGTAAATTATAGAACAATTTTTTGTACAAAGTTCCTTCAAAGGAGTCCAATTACTGTGATTTATTTTTACCTCCTCCAAAAGGGGCTGCTCTTTGCTCAAATAATCGTGTCTCGCAGTTGTTTTCTTCCTTTCTCTCTCTCTCTCCGACCCCTTCCATCAACCTATGCAAAAGATATCAAAAAGCAATGAATATGCAAATGGAAATGTCTAAACCATAGTTGTAACTGGTAAGAAATTGCTGTAATTTTCCTGAATTATTAAAATTTTTAATTACTTCTTTCAAGTAAATTTTTTAAAAGTTGTTTGCAAGTATGATGCTTACCAATAAAACATAAGAGATTAGAGTGCCATTTGTTGGGATTGAAAAGTTCCCTCTAAGAATAAAAAAGGGCAGGGCACTTTTGAGTTTTGAAAGGGCACTCACTTACACCGTAAAAATTTATCAAATTGTTAAATATTGTGTAATAACTAAATTTGATCCTCAACAATTTTTAAATTACCCTCTTATGTTTTGTGTCTATATTTAAAAAAGTAATTCTCACGCGTTATCAAAACAAGAGAAATATTCACAGTATATTAAAAAAGTATACAGTTTAAGTCATGCTAAAAGACAATCTTTGAACATAAATTTTTTTCAGAAAAAGTAAATTTAAAAAAAAAAATATTTATTGATAAACATCTTGCAAACTTTTTTCTGAAAATTATTTTTTAAAAAAAGCATTTAAAGATGCATTTTTTTTTTAAAAGGAAATAGTATTTATTTAAAAAGTTCTTAAAATTGCTTAAAAAATTCTGTAGTATACCCCTCTAAAAAACTTTTAACCAGTTGAGAATGATCCAAACAAAGTAAATGTTTGATATTTGTTATAGTAATCAGAGTTAAACCTATAAATACAAATAATTTTGCCAGTGTGTAATTATTATTTAAACAGTGAATTGTTTATTTTTTTAAAATAGAATATAAATAAAAAGACAAGTGTTTTTAAGTAGAGGCGCGTTTAAAAAACGTTTTCATGCGGATGTTTCTTGTGCTAGTTTTTTTTCTTCTTGAAACTAAGATGGAATTTGCTGAAGTCACGATTCATATTCGCATGATTTTAATATCAAATATCGATTTTAGTATTTACCTAATTTACAAGTTACGCATTCTAAGTCATATTCACTGGATTTAAATTAATCTTTGTGTCGTATCTTATTTTTTAAATTACGCGACCACCTTTATATAAGTTCGTGCCTACATCTTGTAATAAATTCAAAATGTTCTTTAGTTGATAATAGGATTGAAGTTTCTTACTGATACTATTTTATTTGTAGGTTTTGTACTTGCAAATAATCACTCCCCTGTTTTAAATATTTAATAATTGGTAATAAAATTTAAATATACAATGCTTCTAGGTAATTTGTTTTTGTATAAACGTTTACCCTATGTTTAATTCATTTCCTAAATGCCCAATGTTTATTGTGATATTTTCTTTAATTTACTATGAAACTACTAAATCATCTTGAACTAGTGATTTTTCTGTGTTTTATTATAATTTTTTTTTTTTTTTCAATTTGATTCTTGACTTTTAATTCATTATTTTAAGCAAATGAGCATCAAACAGTACTTTCATTGTAAATAATTAATTTTTTGTTACTTTATTTTTATATATTCTTTTTATTTGATTATAAGTTGAAAGCTAATCTTTAATACCAGATTTATAGCAGTTTTCTTTAAAAAAAGGTTTAAATATTGATTAAAGTTTTTACTAAAATTGTATTATTTGCCCCATGAGCAAAATCCTTTATTCCGTAAGTCATTTTATTTGTAAGTTTTTTCTTTTTTTTTTCTGTCTGTACATTATCTGTATAATGCATTGTGATGGATTCATCGAATTTTTCCCATTGTAATTGTGCTGTGTTTCTTTTCTTTTTTTTCTTTTTCCCTAATTTTGTGAGAATTATTTTTTAATTGTTGAATAAATTTTTGTCTGAAAGAAAAGAAAAAAAACCGACTCTTTGTAAATGTACAAATGTTGATGATGTATAAATAGATTTTTATATGTGTGTAAAGTGTGACTCTAAATTTGATGAGTTGTTATTGGTATATTACATTCTACTTAAAACATCAGTATTTGTTTCAAAAATTCTTATACTTTTTTTTTCTTAAATTTTGAAAAAAAGTTTTTTAATGTTACATAGTACTTGGATTTAAAATTAAAATGTACTAATTTTATTATTCCAATGTTTACGTAATGATAAAGCTTATGATAATAATTCCAATATTTTAAATTTTTTGTTACTGCTTTAGCTTTTTGTCTCTGTGATAATGATCTAGTTTATGACTTCCGCAAAATGTTACATTTGTGGGTTGATCTATAAAATATTTGAATTTTTTTTTAAAATTTATATATCGATTTTAATTTATACAGAAGAATAGGACTGATCAAAGGCCTCCTCTTTTTATAGAAATAAATTAATCTTCATTCATTTTATCCTGTTCAATATATGATAAGAGAAAATATCCATTAAAAAATTTGAGAGATGCAGAAAATAGATACTTGTCATAAAAAAATTTGTTTTTTATTTAACATAAGATAATCATATGTCACAAACATGATTTGCTAGTCTAAATTTTGTTACCTTTATTCTAAAAAATCAATATTTGAAAGTAAATGTTGTGTATTGAAAAAGTCAATGTTGTCAACCAAGATATTTTAAAGTCTTTAGAGAAAACATAAATATCTTTATTTTAAGTCATTAAATATTCCATATAATAACTTGTAAGCTGTAATATAAAATGGAAAGCTGATCAAAGGCTAAAATTTTGACCGAAATCTTTATTCGGAGGTTGTTATTATTCCCAACTAAAAGCAATTGTATATAATTTTTTTCCTGGACGTTTTCATTTTGAACTGAATTAGTTACTACAAAAACTTAAAAATAAATTTTTTAATGAATAAAAAAATGGTTTTATGTTGTAGCTGTTGCAAGGAAACTGAAAAATTAATAAATATTAGCAAAAAGACTGTTGTTTCTTCACCAGACTTATTAGCTATAATTTTTTTTACCAAAAATGATTTTTTTTTTTTTTTTTAGTAAGAATAGGAGTTGTAAAATTTCATTTTCTAACAATATACTCTTGATTTATAATAACATCGAAAGATCATATATTCCTCTGCTTTAAATTCAGGGTTATATTTCAATTAATTACTTTCGCATTCAAAATTTTATATTTGTTTTCATCATAACTCATTTAAATTAAGATTTTTAGAAATTCTAAATTTTATTTTTCTGAAAATTTGATGTATTGGGCTAATAATGAAAAATATAAAGATTAAAAGTTGATTTTGAATCTACATATTTATGCTTACCAAATGTTTATTTTAGTCGTGAATATCATATGCTAGTGACTCTATGAAACAGAAATAAAAATGGTGTTTAATCAATTAGAGCTTAAGGCAAATATGAAAGAGTAAACAATAAAACCTTTAGGTCAATATTTCTATTTTTGTTTACAAGTCAAATAATTTATGCCTGTACATAAGGTTTTGTATGTTCCTTTTCAATGTTTTTCTGGTTTCAATGTTTTCACATTTTTAAAAATGCCAAGAGGTAAGAATTGAAATCATTTGTAAAGACAATTCAATATTGATAAAAATAGATGCTATTTAAAAGATTGTAATTTTATAAGTATTTCTAATTTCTATATTTTAAATCTACATTCCTGTCAGTTTTATTAAACTTGAATTTGTTATCGCAATGAAATATCAATTAAAATTTTACTTGAGCTAATTGATTTAAATGTAAAATTTATTTTTTTTAAATTTTTTTTTTTTAATACTCAACTCTTAAGCACAGCATCAACAGAGGGATGCATTTTAAGAGTATTATATGTAGTCGCCCATATTAACATAATAGGAGTTATACGAATCCCCTAAGTCACTAATTAATAATTTGGAAAATTTATTTTATTGTAACCGAATTTCAATTTCCAAGTATTTTTTAAACCTTGTCAAACTTTACCAAAGATACTAAATAGCTTTGAGATTTTTTAAAAATGCTAAGCTAAATTCCATGAAATAAATTTTAATGGATAAAACAAAATATTAATTAGTGACTTAGTAATTTGGTAATTGTTATCCATATAACTCTCCATATGTTAACATGAAGGGATTGGATATGGGATTTGACTCCTCCTTGCAGAATAAATTTTATCAAGGAAGAGGAACAATTGTCCTAGGGTCTGACGTTGCTGCTGGCCCTGTTTTGTAGGAGGAAAAATGTAAAATTTTGCATAAAAGAGACTGGAGAATCTCATTTAAAGGACGCTATACCGTCTGAAAAACTTGCCTTGTCAAATTCTTACACCTACATAAGTAATTTAAAGTGACTTCTGGTAAAAGTATAAGATATGAAGTTTCAAATACTCGTAAAAACACTTTCAAAATGCAAAATTGCGACAGAATTACTTGCCACATTGTTGACTGATAAAGAGTTGGCCTTACATTATCTATTTTAATTCATGAAACCAGTGGCACAATAGAAACTTTTCACATCGAATCCAAAGTTTAATTTCCTTTCATTCAGTATAAATAAAATTTTTTGGAGTTTATTTTATTTTCGTATTCGAATAATTTTTTTTAAAAAAAGCCGATGTCGTGACATAGTTTCTATGTGGAATTGCCAATCAACAAAGTGTTAAGATTACGCTATGGAGAAGTTCTTCAATAATTTGTTTGCATTTTAATACTTAGAAAGTCAATCGTTACTCCTAGTTTTGCATAGTTTAATATACCAATGGATATGGAACAGAATTTGAGAAGAAAAGTTTCTCACCCATTAAACCGTCGGCTTAAGTATCTAGAAAAACTACAATTTTGAATAAAGACTTCAAAAATTCTAAAAAATGTGAAAATGAAATTTTTTTTTATGAGTTTTGATTTAGGGGCCTGTTGGTAAATGTTGTCTTTTGATGCTCATAAAACATTTGTTTAACCTTAAATCTAATATATATACAAAAAAAAATTTAATTTTTCCCAAAAATAGTTTTTTTAATTTTTAAAAGAATTAGAATATATGATCTTTAGATGTCAACACTTGCATTCATTTATTTGCTTTTTTTTTCCGCCAAATTCATTTTTATTATTTTTCTGTATTTGTCTAAAATTATTGTTGCATATGCTCCTTTAATTCAATATGTGTGAAGACTTTTCCTTTTTTATGTACAGTGTGTGTCAATTTGTTTGTCCAACTCAAGATGTCTGTCAAGTTATTTATTTTTCATTTGTAATAATC